CTATGTTACCTACAACGTTAGTAGTTTAATTACGAATACCTCGAAACCCCCCCCCCCCCCCCCCCCCACCACACACACACACTTTCATTTGATGCTGATCATTATGATTTCATAACCACTGACTTCTTAGTTATCCGCGAAGAGAACAGAGAACATCTTGTAGATAGCAGGATTTGTGAACATACTAAGATTACGGAGTCTGCTATCCAAAATAAGGAAGAGTACATATTGATAACATAGTGTTTCTTTTTTTTGCAGGATCAATATATTTTAGTTCATTATAGTAAGTTAATTACTATTTTTATCGAGTTACCAATTAGATCTTAGTAACATTATAATTGACTAGATTTGTACATAAAATCAAAACTCTCGAAATAATATTTAAGTTACATACAATGTAGTACTATCAATGCAATATAATCAATTACAACAAATAATACGCTCCTTATTACTATAGTACTCTGCTTTACATATTGCTATGAAAGCTCTAATAATTATTGTTGTGCCGTTGAGCATTGAAGTCTTTTTTAACTGTCCTTCCCGCCACGGAATGTACCAAAATCCAAATGAAGTTGTTGACAAGAAAGCTCATATCTTTAACGCACCCTTCTCTCAATCTTTCACATCCAACTGTTGACTCTTTCGTTTGGAATAGTCTGATCAGAGCTCATGTCCAACGAACTCATCCACTTACCAGCCCCGCCCATACCCCACTCTCCATCTTCCTCCGAATGCGCTTCTATGGCGTCCAACTTGATTTTTACACCTTCCCTTTTCTTCTCCAGTCTGTCCATTCTCCTTCACATCTCCAATTGGGGCGATCAATTCACTCACAAGCTATTCTTTTTGGTTTCTCATTCGACCCATTTGTCCAAACTTCGCTAATTAGTATGTATACCAATTGCGGCAATGTGGGTTCTGCCCGAAGAGTGTTTGATGAAATGCCTCAACCGGATTTACCGTCGTGGAATTCCATAATCAATGCGAATGTCAAAGCTGGTTTGCTAAGCGTTGCGCGCGAATTGTTTGATGGAATGCCAAGTAGAAATGTCATATCTTGGAGTAGTATGTTGGATGGTTACGTGAGGTGGGGTCAGTGTGAAGAAGCATTGGTGTTGTTTAGTCAGATGCAAGAGGAAAATAAAGTTACGCCTAACGAGTACACCATGTCTATTTTGCTTGCAGCATGTGAGCAGTTGGGTTCACTTGAACATGGGAAATGGGCTCATGCTTACGTATACAAACTTGGGATGGATATTAATGTTGTACTTGGAACTTCTTTGATTGAAATGTATGCTAAATGTGGGAGTATCGTCAGGGCAAGATTAGTTTTCGAAAATTTGGGTCCAAAAAAAGATTTAATGGCTTGGAGTGCAATGATCTCAGGCCTCGCGATGCATGGTCACTGGGAAGATTGTCTCTGTTTGTTCTCAAATATGGTTGATAACGGTGTAAGGCCTGATGACGTCACGTTCTTAGGTGTACTTTCTGCTTGTGTACATGGAGGATTGGTGAGCCAAGGGAAAGAAATGTTTGAGAGGATGAGTAAGGAGTTTGGTATTTCTCCTTTGGTTCAGCATTATGGTTGTATGATTGACCTTTATGGAAAAGCTGGTTTGATTAATGAGGCATGGAATCTTGTGAATACAATGCCTATGGAGCCAGATGTGCTTATTTGGGGAGCTCTTCTCAGTGGAGCCAGGATATGTGGAGATATTGAAACATGTGAAGTTGCACTCAACAAAATAATAGAGCTAGATCCCACGAATAGTGCAGCTTATGTTCTTCTCTCCAATGTCTACGCTAAGATGGGTCGGTGGAAAGATGCTAGGCACGTCAGAAACCTTATGGAGACAAAGAGGGTAAAGAAAGTTCCTGGGCTCAGTTCCATAGAGGTCGATGGACGCATTCGCTAGCACTAGTTTTCAGTGGGAAACAACTGATGCTAAAGGATACTCTATGTAGGTTCAAGATGGATGGTTATGTAGACAAAACAAAAGGTATTGCCACTCAAGGAACGGAAAAATTAGCAGTTCTCACTTCGTACTGAGAACCTGCCAATCGAATTCTTTGTTCTAAATAATATAGCATGGTTCTCATATGCACAGTCAAGGTATGCACCTTGCGAAGGTAATGTTGCAATATAAATTGCCTCGAGGGCTTTTTATGGGTGATATTGTTGTCAATAGTCACAACTGGTTTCAATACTTTGTTGGTGGGGAATGTTTCTGTAGTGACTTCTGGTAATTGACCTTGTCCTGAATTTTGATTGGGAACATATGGTCCTTTTAAGCGCCGAAGCTTACAAACTCATGTGACCTGGCAATATCGACGTCTGGGAGCGCCTTGTGGATTAAGTTTCATTTGCTTCCAACAAGTTGATTCCTTAAAGCTATTGCAAGCGTAAGTTTATATATCTTCGGGAAATGACTTCCATCTTCTGCAGATATGGTCCTCCTAGTAGAAACTGAAGGGTTCTACGGATGCACTTGCATGCTGAATAGATTAGAAAAAGCAGAGGCGGATCCACGATGTAAACTCTATGGATTCAACCTTTAAGGTTCTTAGTATCGAACTCATTATATCCTTAAAGTTATGAGTTCATATCTACAATTTGTTGCGATTTTAGTGAACTTTTGCACATAAATTTATGCTCTGCGTCGAAAGTTATGGGTTCAATTGACCCCATTGGTATAGGGCTACATCTGCCCCTGAGAAAAGGACCGAAGCTTTATGTACTTCTAATTCTTATCTGTGCAAGATCCGTTCTTCACATCTAACCCATTTTTACAGTTCTCAGATGGTCCTTTCTTGAGGCTAAATGCTTAATGCAAGGGCTGCTTAGCATTTGTTACCTTTGCAACAAGTGTGGTTAATACATTACAACCCTTTGCTATACTGTACCAAAATATTGTAATACCCATTTGGTGAATCTTTTCATTTAATATATCTTCTTGTTTCATCATGTCTTGAGAAGTTTTTAACAGCTCAACAGAAATGGTTGAGACTATTATTTACTTTTTGAGAGTAGTTAAGTTTCCTGAAATGCTTAAAGGATCAAGAACTATGTATTAATATTTTGAATCCTTGTTTACCTTTTGTCATTTCTACACCTTTGAAAAGCTGACTAAAATAAAACCAGTTGGTTCACAGAAAATCAGATACGCCCTCTTCCTTATCAGTGGAAGCAATATTGTCTTTCACTCGTAACTACTACAGTATTAGTTTGTATTTAGTGTGGTTTTTTTGGGGTTAGTAAGCAAATTTTATGACGTGTTCAATATAATCTAGCAAAGTGATTGACTTAATTCATCTGATGAGATGGTAGATCACCACTGATCGCAAGTCTCTCTATTTGTACCAGTAAATTTTTAAAAAAAAAATCTAAACTCGATTAATAGATAAGTAAAGCCATTAGAAAAATACCTGCCAAGCAGTGACATACATAAGGTGATTCAAAATAACGGCTTTGAGTTTTGCCCGTGCTCCTGCTCAGTCTGTAGCAACTTCAAATCCTCAACACCACATTTAATTATACTGTTCTCTGAGCGTTTGGTACAAAAAAAGTCGCTTTCATAACGTGTTTTATAGAGACATTTTCTCATATTTGGTTGATGAGTCAAAAAATATTTTTTGAAAAGCATATACACTAAGACAAATGATAATATTAACATAGCGGAGAGTGTTTTTAATGAACTTTTGAGCTACATCTTTAAGTACTGTTAGTTGGAGCAAGTAATATGAAGTTAAAACTTAAGTTAGTAGTAAGAAAAAAGATTTTCGTCCATAAATGAGGGAAATCATCCCCCTTTGATGGAAAATATTTTTCTTGAAAAATATTGTTTAAGTAATCAAACACTAAACCTATGATGAGCCTACTGTTTGACAAAATATATATCTTGGTTCAACTAATTAAATTTATACAAATAAGGATTAATCTTGATTAATAATAATATCCTAAAGACAAAATTCTTGGTAATATGATAAATAGCACATAGATCTATTCCGAAAGTTATGACGGTGCACGATAATGACAATATTTAAGAACCCAAATAGAAGTAATGTTGCATTAAATAGTGATCGACAATCATTGTGTCTCTTTCTATTTATATGGAACATGTTCCTAGAAACCCTAATAGTACAAGTGCAGAGAACATCCACTAGAATATTCTCTTTAATGTCCTATCTCGAAACTAGCCGTTATAACTCTGTCAAGGGTATTCGACCTTGGCCTCGATCCTTGATGACTCCTCGACTTCAGTCCTTGCTGAATCTTCGACCACGACCTTCATTGTTTCTTAGATCACTTCGACACGTGGCGGCTTGGGAATGTTTCACTAATGCCATCTTGACTTAAATATTCTAGAGATACGATTTTGACCCATACAGTTAATCCCTCAGCTTATTGAGGCCGACTTCACGGGCGGGTTCGATGAGCGGATCATGTTGTTGGTGGTCGAGCTAATCAAGCGGACTACACAGGTCGTGGTTGTTGCGGCGAGCAGGCGACGTGGCCCTCTGTGGGCCGCACATTTCAAATGCTTCGAATTTCCTGGGTGATTTGCTGGAGCTATGTTGTCCAGGGGTTAGGATGATGTCATGATGTCATGCGTCATTATGACGCATATTCCCGATGCGTTGCTTCGCTTCGTGTGTGTAAGGCCCCGTAAAATTCTATCCAAAACCCGGGGTACCGTGGTGCTGAGGTGGACTTATGTGTTAATGATTGTAGAGATGCGCGGACTTTTTAGGCCGAACAGTGTGTTGGTGAGTTGAAGAAAATTTTTGGAAGTGCAGGGCGTTTTTGCGGCCAATTCTGCGATCGCATAACTGATCTGCGGACCGCATATCTGCCGCGGAGTGAAATAGAAACCTGAGCTAAATTTTAGGACCAATATGTGATCCATTATGCGGCTGCATAGTCATTTTGCGGACCGCACAATCTATCGCAAATCCAGCATATAAATTTCCAAAGGGATGTTCTGCGGCGCATTACGCGATCGCAGAACAGGTCTGCGGACGGCAGACCAGTCGCACAGTGAAGCAGAAAATGGCCAGTTCCGGAAGGCCATTATGTGGCCCATTTTGCGGACCGCACAAGCTTTATGCGGTCGCATATGCGACTGCAGATTTGCATCGAGGCTTCATTTTTTCTAATTTTTGATCCCGACCTCATTCTTATAAAACAGCCTTAGGGATCATTTTAGAAGGGTAAAACTTATATTTTTAGAGAGAGGGAGTGCCTTAGAGTGAGAGGGGGAGTCCCTAAGCTCATCATCCATCAATTCTTGCTCAAAGTTGAAGAATTTGCAAGAAGAATTCACTAGGTCTTCATCCTAGAGGTAAGGTTCTACTCCATAGCCCTCAATTTTGTGATTTTAACTTAAAATAGGTAACAAGCCAAACAAATTCTTGGGTGTGGGAGTTGTTTATTTTACATGCATGTACCATCAAGGGAAGTGGGAAGATTGTTGAGCTCTTTTGAGTAAACTTTGGGTAGTGGGGTGAAAGCATCCATCATAGGAGGACCTTGAAACCTTAATGCACACATAGTGTTTGATAAAAAACTCAAGTGAGCTGGAACTATGAACTCCTTCCTAATTTGTGTTCAGTTTTACTATATTTCTAAATAGATCGAAGTGGGTAAGTATTCCGGAACATCGTAGTAATTTAAAAGTTCAAGGCGATGTATGTTGGCTAAACTCTTCTCTTAGAATTGAACCACACAATATCCTTGTAAGTTCCGTGGTGCTTATTATAAATTGATTATTTCGAAGAAGCCGTGTGTCAAGATGAATATGCGTTCAATATGTACTCCAAAGATTCTTGTTATGTTGAGTTACCGTTTGAGAATGTGGTTTAAGTATGGGCTGTGTGGTACTGTGTTATAATTTGTGTTCCTAATGAAGGTTATCATGTCAAATTATGTAAGAAATCACATGCGCCTAAGACCCTAAATTTCTCAAATATGTGTTTAAAGCTTGATTTGAAAGGCCTTGTTGTCGATTGTCCACAATGGTATTCGAAAGTGAAAGAACGGAGCATGAAATATGATGTGCGACCTCGTGCCAAGAATTGTATTGCATCGCGGCCAATGGTGCCAATGAAATGAACGACATGTAAAAGAATATGAGATGTGTGGTAAATCCTTTTATTAATAAATGCCTTGGGAGTATCGTTTATTCACCGAGGAAGGGTAGGTCAAAATAACCTAGCCCCAAAACTACACGTGCCGGTGTAGGAGTGATTGAGGGGTAAAACCCCTTGTTAATATAATGAGGTTGTTTCCCCTTACATGGGATGATATTGATGTGTTGAGATGTTTCCCCTTGAATGGGATGAGATTATTGCTAGCAAGATGTGATGTCGACCCACATGGCATTATGGTGAGACGGCTTAGCCAATCGGGCGGAGATCGAACGCCGTGCCGCGCACATGGTGGTATTGTGAGTGGATGTCTCGGGGTGAGATGGCTTAGCGATCGGGCAGAGATCAGACTCCGTGCTAAAATACGGTGGTATATCCGTGCTAAAGGTCTCCTAACTTAAAATATCGAACTTTCTTGAAATTTATCTTTCCCCTAATATGACACTTTGTTACTATTTGAGTCTCTTATAGATTTCATGTTTCGTTCTTCGTTTATTGTTACTCGTTTTATTGAGAAAGTGTTTAGCTTTACATACTAGTACTATTCCATAAGTACAAATGTCCCTTTTGCTTGGGGCGCTGCATCTTTAATGGATGTAGGCGGTTTCATAGCAGTTGGTGTCGATCCGTGATAGTAGCACACTCTCTCTATTCACCTGACTTGGTGAGCCCCACTTTACTTCGGGGTCCTGTATCTCTTGTCTTTGGTTCATAGCATTTTGAGGTATAGTCGGGGCCTTGTTACCGGCATTGTCTTAGTACTTTTTTAGTTCTATTAGGGGCCCCGTAGACATAGTATGGATTGTATCTTGTTTTGGGAAGGTTGAATTAAACTTGTTGTAATTGTATCATCTGTTCCACTTTAACTACAAATATATAGCGTACTGTTTTGGAAACTTGTTAATGATGTAATTAATGAAATGAAATGATGTTACTCACATGACCTCTGTCTAATTAATGAAATGTATTCTTCTCTTTATTCATGGGTGAGTTGGGTAGACGACATTGTGCAGGCTTGCTCGACCGGGGTAACCCTGTTGAGCGCCGGTCGTGCTCCCTAAGATCGGAGCGTGGCAGTGTGTGACCTTTGATTAGAACTGTCGCTTCGGTTACGGTGCCAATCATGATGAACCATTTCGGTTTTGGTGCCATGACTTTTATAAATAGAGATCCTTGAACCTGATTTTGAAGTTTAAACCCTCTTAACTTTTCGAAACACCATACCTTTCTCTTGCTCTCTTCTTCTCCGATTTCTTTTCTCTGTTTCGTTGACCTATATTGTTCTTCATTCCCTCTTGTTTGTTACTCTACTCTACTACGTTGAATCATGTCTAACATAGCTTCTGATACTGGTGAGGGGTGTCGTGTTACTCCCTTGGCAGTGTTTCCCTCCCATAGGGAGAGCGCTTCCGCTATTGTTGAGGATGAAGCCTTCCTGTCGGTGGAGGAAATAATCCCGCATAATCCCAAATCCAGGTTCGACCTTACCAAAGTACCGGATGCCACGCCTGGAGTTTTTAAATCAATGATGACGCCTAAGGAATTGGCGGAACTTAAGGCCAAATTCATCCTTCCAAACCATGTTGAGCTGATCCCGGCTGAGGAGGACACAGTACAGGTCCATTGTCCTGGGTACTACGCTCTTTATGCCTATCCCTCCCTTATTGTCTATTCTTTCCCCCTCCTCCTTCTTGTGGAGGAATTTTTTCTTCATTACAGTGTCTGCCTGACTCAGCTTGCACCAAATGTCTACAAGGTGATTAAGATGC